GAAAGGAAAAAATGAAATCGCATCATATGACCCCTTTAAATTCAATTTATATGAATACATATTATTATTTTGCAGTAGTGTAACGCACCTCCTGAGTCAAAAATCTCTTCCATATTAGAATGTGTTCAATCCATGTCTGTTATAATTTAGCATTGAATTCAGCTTGATTTGCCCTAAGCCTTTTTAATATCGTTTGAGCCTATTTTTAACATAAGATCAGCTATAAACATCATAATACTTTGCATAATTAAATTTAAAAAGTATTTTAAACCTAATGTGAACTTTTCCCTCATCATGTAATTCAATGAACAGGTCTTTGCTTAGTGGACTTTAAAAACACAATCAGCCATGGAAAAATAATCCTCTTCGAAAAATAATCCTCCTCCAAACAATGTAGATTAGGTAAGACAATTTTGGTTGTGCTTTTATGTAAACAGATTTCCTACAGGTGCCATTGTAGGCGACAGAGACATTATGCAAGGCTTAGTCCGTGTCAAAGAGAGAAGACGAGAACAGCTGCCGAGTTGAGTAACATGCCGAGACCCCTGACAGAGGCGGCCTGCTGTACTAACGTCTCCAGCCCTGAGCCGGAGGAGACTTCAAACGGCCCAGCACCCGGCAGGAGATCTTCTGAAGACGGACACAGCAGCCTCTCGGCCATGAATCAGGCCTGTCAATAGCTGCCCATCCTCTCAACAGGTGTCCGATTGTCGCACAATCACTTTCTCCTCGCTTGTCATAATGAAAGAGCCATTTCCCAACAAGTGGAATGCATTCTCACCATGAACGGGCTTCCTGTTGCAAACAAACAAGCACATAATGAAACATACAAGATCCAAGGGCTACAATTAATTGCTCGAGAACAATGTCTCAGTTCTGTTAGGAAGTCAAAGCGAAGATGTTGTGGGACACCAGGAGAACTGGTCTTTACACAGTTATGTAAAAAGACTTTCAGAACTTTTCATGCTTTTTATGTTTCCCGCAGACTGAGCTGAAACAATCTGGCTGAAACTTTAGAGAAACAGTTCACCCAAAAAAGGAAGCTTTATTCCATGGGACACAAAATAATGTATTTTCTGTTGTAGCTTGCACTTTTCTGGATGATGTTTGAAACTTTGGTAGAACTTCACATGCTATTGCCTCCTTAAAGGAGGAGTTCACCCCAAAATTTTGTCATCATTTACTCACCCTCTTATGTGTATAACCTGTATAAGTTCAACACAAAAGACGATATTTTGAAGAACCAAACAGTTGTTGGTTCCCACTGACTCCCATAGTAAGGAAAGAAATACTATGGAAGTCAAAGGAGACCATCAACTGTTTGATTACCAGCATTCTTCAAAATATCATCTTTTATGTTCAACATAAGAAAGAAATTCATACAGGTTTGGGACGACATGAGGGTGAGTAAATGATGGCAAAATTTTCATGTTTCATGGGTGAACTATCCCGTTAAGATGAATTGATGTTGCATTCTTCATGGTAAGTTGTTTTTGGAAAAAAAAGCATCAACTAAATTAATAAATGTAAATGTATTTTATGACAAATGTTGTTATTTGTCCATGCAATGAAAGTCAATGGGGTCCAACATTGTTTTAAACCTCACTGAATCTCATTATACGGACAAAAAAACAGCCGAAACACTGCTTAAAAACATCAGAAGGGCAGAAATTTCATTTTGGGTGAAATATCCCTTCTGACTAGGCCAACTCTTCAAACAGTCTGCCAAACGGCTATTATATTTTTTCTATAGGACTAAAAACAGAAAGCAGCCAACCCGTAGTTGAGTTTCGAGAACTTCTGGCCTCTCCCGGTCAGCTCTTAGTCTTCATTTGGGAACTTCAGAAACTGCCAACTTCAGATCTCCCCTGATGTATGAGGTTGCACTATTCCCAGGCCTCAGCTTGAAGGCTGGATGCAAAGGCTCTTGGGAAAAGAGCAGCCAGCTGAGCACAGCGTGCACACGCAGCAGCAGCCAAATTCGCCCTGTCACATTCGATTTCAGGGCCTCCATGTTGTATAAGCAACACCTCGTGCAGGGTTCTGTGAGCTCCCCGCTTTGACATGTTTGTTGCCGCTGTGGGCTGACACTTATGTTACTTCAGCTCTGTAGAACATGGACAATTTAAAGGCCCTAACAAGCCAAAAATGGACACGCCGTTCCTGGAATCAAACACTCTGGGATCAACATGCTGGACCAGTTCAAGCAACTTTCGAAGTACTATTTTCACAGCCGCACTAACAATGACACGAAAATCGATTAACAGAATCAACTGCATTCAAAAAAGACATTAACCAAAAAAGACGTGCAGCTAAGTATGTATTTTGGCCTCCAGTCAGTTCGTTACTCGAGGCAGACGACTGAATGCAAACATATGTTGGGCAGATGGCATTGCGTAGCTGGCACGGGGTCGGCGGGGGCGCTCAGCTGTATATCTAAGACGCCCAGGCCCTCCAGGAATGCACATGGAGGGCCAAGGATCAGGGCAGGAGGGGCGTCAGGCTATGGGGGGCTTGAGGCCTTCATCGGCAGTGAGAAAGAGCAGGGCCCTGGGCCCTCTGAATTGACAGGCTCTGCAGGAGCCAGGAAAGTGCAGGAGCAACTCTACACAGCTCTCTGCAGGACTCTGTCAATTCTACAAATGAGTATGTGTCAAAAAGTGACCTGGGACTGCAATGGGGAAACATCACACGGCTCACGTCCAATCAAAATCCTGTGAGTTATACGATACAAAATGTACTGTGGCTGGTTTAGGAATGTAAATCAAGAAGACAGATCAAGTTTGATGGATTAAAAACATGTTATACACTGATAGGACTCTTCTCTTATGGACTGATAGTCTTCGCTCAGCTTGAATGACAGTATACTGGTAATCTCCAGGAAAGAGTTATCAACGGACCCCATCACATTCCCACTGGCTACACAGTTAGTGAGATAAGACAGTCCATCTGAACACCCCAGGCACACGTGCCTCAGCCCACATGCATCGCAAACCCCATCCGTATACATGTGAGGTTGATTCCTCAACCTTGATCACGCATGTCCAACTATCACCTAGTTGTTAATCTCATAGTCTTAATTGACAGCGCTGTGCTTTGCTTGAAACATTTTACATAGTAACGATTACCGTCCAATTATTGTACACAAATGTGTTTTCTCCAGTAGTGGTTTAGCATGGATTCAAATATCTAGTTTACTCTTCGTGATTTGTCCTCCAAATTTTTTTTTCATTTAATTTAAATTTAAAATGTATTTTGTATTTATAACTATAATATATAAAATAAAAATTATAGTTATATACATTTATAAAATGTATTCCTTATATTTATTTGTAGGCCAAAATAGTGCTGCCTTATGAATGCAAAATGGCAACATATGCCAACAATAAAAATAAAAAAAGATTTTTAACTTAATTTTGATTGGTTTTATATAGATTTTCTAAATCTGAGAAGTTAAGACACACTCATCTGTTATAGGAAAGACCATTGCGTCAGATGATTTTGGTCACAAGTCCTTTCGGACAAAATGTGAAGTTGTTTTGTGTTTTGCCTTTGTAGGGCAGAACGGTTTCTTAATTTTGCACATTACAAAACACTGCATCAAAAATGGCAACACATTCTGATACTGGGGCATGTTGTCACAAAAGGTCAACGTGTTTTTCCTATACAGAAATCTTTCAAAAATAAGCCCACCCTGAGAAATATTCAAAGGGAGTAAAAAGTGTGACAACCAGTCCCCGGTTACCACAAACTACACAGTGATAGAGAAAGAGCCCTGCTCTCATTCTTGCTGAAGTGGATTATAGTTAGAAGCATTTTCTGCAAACTGTGGGGCAGAGGAGCAACTTGGGCCAAAAAGTGTCACAATCCAGAACCACCCTGGGTTCATTGTTCTGACTCCTTTTGTGGCTGGATGCCACTGTACTAAGGAATCTGGAAAAGAAAGGCTCCCTAACAGTCGGTCATGCACCAGTGCTTTTGGCAACAACAAGTCCATGGCCTATATTGCCTTAATTTTGCTCTGGCGGCTGTGTCCCCACAACAGAAATCCCTATTACTGGTTATAGAACGGGCTTTATTAGAGAGTGGAGCTTTGAAGGGCAGAACAAAAGAGCATCCTATGTTTAGATTAGATAATGTAAGCAACCGCTTTTCTGCATGGATGACACTACACAATAAGCCACCTCATGAATACTAGCCAGTCCAGATCCTAGGGCTCTTTTTGTTTCATAATTACTGCAAGAAAAATGAAAAAAGAAAACCTAATCAAACGTGATCTCGTCTGTCACTAAACCACGCTTATCATTAACAATGGGGATAATGGCTGTGCGTGTTCCGATTGCCTGAATGCTGAAACTGTGCTAGTAAGTAACTGGCTGCGGATAGTCAGATATATCCAAGGAAACTCTGCAAACAAACAATGCAATAAAATATCTGTGCATAACATGTTCTCCCCAATGAATCTTCATAATGAACACCTCTTATTGACAGCACACTGCGTGATGCTTTCAGATCTGTCAGCACAAATGTGTCAGTCGGTCTGACATTTTCCCAATATCAGTTTGGTATTCCAAAGCAATCAACAAATCGGCATGGAATGTGGTAACTGGCTTGAAAAAACGTGGGAAAAAGGTGATGAAATACCAGCCTGCTGAACAAATAATTTCTTTAAAATCATCTGTATTTGGAACTCATTTAACATAACAAATGTGAAGAAACCCAAAACCTTCGGGCACTTAAGTCACACTGACAATGTCTGAATGTCACTGTTTTAGATGCAAAATATCAAACCAAGTGACATCAGCCAACTGGTGTTACAGTAATATTAAATACTTTTTCATAATTTGAAATGTTTTGTCTGAGTGAGATGTCTTTGAAATTTTACATTTTACATTTTGTTAAATTAAAAACTGCATACATTAAGTGTAAAGATAGATAGAATGATAGAACGATAGATAGAACGATAGAACGATAGATAGATAGATAGATAGATAGATAACCTGGTCATGGCTAGCTGAAATGGAGCTCCCGATGCCGTGGAAGGTCATCTGCACAGGTGAGAGGGTCAGGTAGGTCATGAACTCGTTGTCAGTTTGCCGATCTGAGTACTGCACCTGCATGAGACGAGAGACGGAGGGAAGGGAGTATTAAATATTATGTGATACAATTTACAGCATGTACTGCACTGCGGTTCTGACCTTGGAAAACATTTTGTGGGAAAAGTACAAACTGGATCCTCAGACTTGGCTGGTAGTTTGTGCTCACTTTTACTCGATAACAGCAGTGGTTTTAGATTTTGATCTTCATCCTCATGAATGGTTCACAATCTATGCTTTCTCAAGCGCTCGAATGGCGAATGATAGAGTGATTTAGAGGCGAGCTCTGGCCCCGTTTGGGGTTTCTGAGAACACCTCTGCACGTCAAACTCCACTCAGCAACACCCAAAGGAGTGTGTGTGTGTGTGCAAGGATTTTGGACACTATGCTGGGCCACTTTGATCATGTTATGCCTGACCTATATACATATCCAGGCCATTTAAAATAATTTTTTACTTGCAGAACATACAGAAACTGCTTTTTCACTTGATTACTTTTAGATTTATTTATTTTTTTTTAGAATTTCTGGCTTGAAAAAACGTGGGAAAAAGGTGATGAAATACCAGCCTGCTGAACAAATAATTTCTTTAAAATCATCTGTATTTGGAACTCATTTAACATAACAAATGTGAAGAAACCCAAAACCTTCGGGCACTTAAGTCACACTGACAATGTCTGAATGTCACTGTTTTAGATGCAAAATATCAAACCAAGTGACATCAGCCAACTGGTGTTACAGTAATATTAAATACTTTTTCATAATTTGAAATGTTTTGTCTGAGTGAGATGTCTTTGAAATTTTACATTTTACATTTTGTTAAATTAAAAACTGCATACATTAAGTGTAAAGATAGATAGAATGATAGAACGATAGATAGAACGATAGAACGATAGATAGATAGATAGATAGATAGATAGATAGATAGATAGATAGATAACCTGGTCATGGCTAGCTGAAATGGAGCTCCCGATGCCGTGGAAGGTCATCTGCACAGGTGAGAGGGTCAGGTAGGTCATGAACTCGTTGTCAGTTTGCCGATCTGAGTACTGCACCTGCATGAGACGAGAGACGGAGGGAAGGGAGTATTAAATATTATGTGATACAATTTACAGCATGTACTGCACTGCGGTTCTGACCTTGGAAAACATTTTGTGGGAAAAGTACAAACTGGATCCTCAGACTTGGCTGGTAGTTTGTGCTCACTTTTACTCGATAACAGCAGTGGTTTTAGATTTTGATCTTCATCCTCATGAATGGTTCACAATCTATGCTTTCTCAAGCGCTCGAATGGCGAATGATAGAGTGATTTAGAGGCGAGCTCTGGCCCCGTTTGGGGTTTCTGAGAACACCTCTGCACGTCAAACTCCACTCAGCAACACCCAAAGGAGTGTGTGTGTGTGTGCAAGGATTTTGGACACTATGCTGGGCCACTTTGATCATGTTATGCCTGACCTATATACATATCCAGGCCATTTTAAATAATTTTTTACTTGCAGAACATACAGAAACTGCTTTTTCACTTGATTACTTTTAGATTTATTTTTTTTTTTTTAGAATTTCATTTTTGCTAGTGTTTTTGGTTTCATAAATAATTAAATTTCATTTTAGAATGAACAGTTTCTAAAAACACTGAGAAAATTCAGTGGATACAGATCTATATTTCTGATCATAGAGACTTGGGAAAAGTGTGAGTTGTTCCATGGGAAAAATGTCTGGACAGCTTGTTACAATGTGTGAAAGTCTGCTTCCAGAGAACTTCTTAGCACAAGAAATTTCTTGGACTAAATGCTGATCATATATTTAAAATAAATAATTGTTACTGCATAAAACTGAGAATCCTGAAGAGAAGATGAATGAGTGCAACAGCAGACTGAAGGAATCTCACTCCAAGAACGTGTGTTTATGTTCAGACTTCAAGTGGTCTGATGGGCCAGATCCACGGGGCATTCCGCTGTGAAGTGTGTTTTAAAGACAATGTTAACAACACGGTTTGCAAGAAGCACAATGTGTGATTGGCGTTTACAGCTCCAGGAAACAGGAACTCTGACATATACAAACATCTTGTGTCTGGTCAAGAGAAGAAATAAATGGCTGCACTGACTTGGTTAATATTTCTATTATATTCTGCACAAACAGATCATGTTCTTCATGTTATTATAGGAATGCCATTTCAAAACTTTCATTTGTCAAGTAAAAATAATGTGATAAAAAAATGTATCACATTAAATGTATAAAAAATTATTAAAATTTCAATCGATTCATTTTTCTCAGCAAATATTGAAAAATGCAATTAAGTGCATTTACGTTAATTAACCAATCATCATATACTGAGTAACTGATTTGATTACAGTTCTTAACCAATTAACAGCCCTATTTTATAATTATAATAACCCTCTTAATATTATAAAATATAATAACTAAACTAATTAAACATAATATAAAAGTAATATAAAAATGTATAATATAAAAACTTATTTTAAAAATATCTTCATAAGATTGGGAAACAAAAATCTAAAATAGGTATATATTATTAGTTATATATAATTATGTATATTTGTATGACATTTAAAAAATTATCTAAATATAAAAATATTAATAATAAAATATCTACAAATATTTTATATAAATATAAAATAAAAT